CACCTTCCAAGGCAACGGTTTTTACGGAACAAGGTATGCTATGGTGTACACTTCACCTTCCTGCCCTCAAATCCCCAATCATCCTCTTGTCTCATAGGAAACACTTCCCAAAAGTGCATTTCAGAAAACTACCACGATCCAGATGGGAGTTGATAATGGTTAAATGCTAATGCTGTTATACCACTAACTGCATTACACCCTTCCACTGCTGGGCATGGAAGGGCAGTGTTCATCTGTTAGCATTAGCAGGAGCACTTTAGAGGTTCCAGATTTTACCTGGAAGAGGCTTCTACTTGCTGTTCCAGGAGTGTGATCCCTGTTTGCTGCACTGAGCCAGCAAATAGCCACTGTCGGAGCTTGGAATACAAAGCCTCTTTTTTTGTTGTTGTTTTCTTCTTTTTTTGTTGTTATTTTAGGCTCAGGAAGGGAAGTGCCCTTCTTGAACTCTGAAAAGAATCTGGCTATCTGATAGCCCTCCCCTGGGCTAGGGCAGGGTGCAGTTGACTGTGGTGGTCTCTCTGTTGTGCTGGTGATTAACAGTTGCCTCTCTTGGCCTGCTCCAGGGAGGGAATTGGTGTTGGTTGGCCTTTCTTGCCCTGTCAGTGGGGATCTGTGCCTGTGCTGGTTCTTTTTGGGGCTGGGGAGAAGCCACTGTCTCTGCCTTCAAAGGTAGGATGGGTGTCTTCTGCTGCATTAGCCACGGCAGCCATTCTTACGTGCTGTGTGGCGAGTGAACTCTTCTGACAAGGCTTCAAACTGTTCTCTGGTTGATCTTTCAATTGTTCCTCTTTGGGTTTGGTTCCTGCTGTTGGTTGATGCTTGAGCTGCCTCTTTTCCTTGCAGTGTGTGGCAGAGATGTCGGTCAGTCCCTTTCAGCTCTCACATCTTCTCCTGGCAGCTGAACTGCAGGCGAGGATGTAGGCAAAGTCCAGCCAGGGGCTGTGCTTGCAGCCCTTCCTGTACAGAGACTCTCAGCTGAGAAGCTATTTCCTTGTAGTGCCCTTTCCTCTTTTGCCAGTGGACTGTGGTGCACTCGGAGCAGTGGCATCCTCCTGGGCACGGCTGGGGACGTGCCCTCCTCTGACACACGTGTGTGTGTGCGCACACACTTCAGCAAGTAGAAACTTGTCACTGATCACAGTGTTGTTCCAATTCTTAGTTATTGGAAAGCCTTTTCTTAATGGGAAAGCAAAAAGGGTGAGCTGTGGTCTCTGCAGCCACAATGCATGCAGATGAGCTACTGGAAAAGGGAATTCAGCAGAATGAGAAACAAGGAATGAAAGGACCTCGATTTATTGTTTCTGCCCTGCTCACTAGGGATGGCTGCATGGGAGGGTGCTAGGCAGCGTGGCAAAGCTATACAGCTGCTTGCTCTGATTTGACAGTTTCTCTCTTTGAGTCAAGAGGTTTCTTTCTGTATTTGGACAGACTACATGCAGGGTATGGATCTTTTTTCACCCTTTCCCTTCAAAGGGAATTAAATTTGGATTAGGGTAAGAAGAGGGGTTACAGACAACACCTTGCTTTGGTTTAATGTAGGGGAGAAGTATCGGATCAGAGAGTCTGTCTAGGACAAAAGCTCTTTCACATTTGCTGGAGGTTCTTAATGGTGATCTCTTCGTTCAGTCTGGGTAGGGTTGGCACTCGCTCGCAGGCGGGTGAGCATCCTGCCCTGCTCCCGGGGAGCTGTGTGTCTGCAGGAAGGGGAGGACCACTCGCTTTTCTCTCTCCCTGGGGCTTTGCCAGAAAGTCAGGCCTGGCCTGACCCTCTGCTCTGGTCAGGGTGAGGGCAGCAGCAGGCTCAGACAGCAATGGGTATTCCACCCTGCCTGCAGAGCTGCTCCATAGCGCAGAGCCCCTGCTGCTCCCCAGGGACCAGCAAAGCCCTTTGGGGGGGAATCAGGTCCAAGCAGGACTTGAAAGGAGCAAACATAAGCCAGGAAAGAGGCCAAAACCCAGCTCACTTGTGCTGCTCTGCTTCTGTTCCCATGGAAAACAATGGCACTGGCTGTCAGAGCAGTTGGAATCCAGGGCTTGCTTCTGGGCTCCATTGGCAAGAGTCAGCTGCTCCGATGTGCTGGCAGCTTGGCCTGTCATGAAATCACCAGTGGGACACACAGAGGGAGGAATCTCTTCCAAGCAAAGCAAAAGGAGAAGCAGTTGAGCTTTCCAGAAAGCTGGTCTCATCTTCCCAGGCTGGCAGAGGCATAACCTGCTCCATTCCATAGCTGTGGCCAACCTGAGCACATCTCTGGCTTCTTCTCCAGCGGCTTGGCACATCACTGCTTGTGGTTTTTGATAACTGTGTCTCATGGGGTGTCTCTTCCTTGTCTCCACATTATTGACTCCACAGATCCTGGTCTTTACGTAGCTTTTTAGCTCTCCTACCCTTGTTTTTGAATTAGAAAGCAGCCCTAGCCATTCAGCCTGGTGCAGCACAGCCAGGGCTGCGGCACCCAGCAGGAGGAAGGAGCAGTCTGTTCCTATTCCTGGATCCCACACAGAGCTCCCACTGCAGTGCCCATTGGTGGGCATGGAGGCAGTGGTGCTGGCAGTGGGATCCCTCATCCTGCAGACTCGCTGCCACCTCGGGAAGCTGCATCTCACGAGCACTTTTCTCCTTGTGGCATCGCTTGCCCTCTGTTCCTCAGTGGACTTTGAGCGTTGAAGCAGTGCATCAGTTTCAGACCCAAACCTCTGGTTAGTTTCCTTTTGGGGTTTTCTTTTTTGTTGTGAAGTTTATTGAGGTTTTTTTTTATAAACCCAGCAGGCTGGTGGTTTGTTTTTTTTTTGACTTGCATTATTGTTTCATTGATATTTTATTCCGGGGGGGGGGGGTTTGAAGGGGGAGGATGCTCTTCCCCACATCGTTCCCCTTCTCAGGGGATTCAGAGGTGGCTTAAACTAAAAGGACCTTATTGGCAAGACTCTGCATCCCTATGGTCTGTGATGCTGGTGAGCAGGGCTGCTCCTGCCTAGCTGATCCAGAGTGCAGAGCTGGCCTCTGCTTTGGACTGGGGGCCAGGTGAGATGTGTGGGCTCTGCTCAGCCAGTTCCTGGACCTTTAGCTGGTGAAAGCCCATTGCAAAGAGTTGGGAAATTCAATGTAACTTTTTTGTTTTACTAACTTTCTTTTCTTTTTAAACCAATCTAAACTGAGTGAATGTCTGTAAGAATAGGCTTAGCTGTGACTTGGTGAAGGAGATGGCTTTCAATTGGAAATTGTGATAGGGAGGGAAAAGAAAAGGGGGGAGAAGGATGTTGTTCCTCCATCATCTTTTGTATGGTCAGCACTTTAAATGGGGGCCCTCGTGCTGTCCTGACCCTCGGGCAGCAGGCACGTGATCTCTCCCCCTCCTCATCCTCCTTACAAATAAGACCCTTTTTAACGCTTGCTTCAGTTTATAGAGGGTCCCAAGCCCTGCAGAGCACCCGTTTCAGTCTCATCTTCGTAGGAGGGGGGTGACTTATTTATTGTTGTCGTCGCTGTTTTCTTTTGAACCCTCTGGCACCTGCAGCTGGACTCTGCACGTGCAACGTGTTGTGAACCTCTGGGAAAACCTCACTCCAGGTACGCTTAGAGCACGTAGGTTAAAACACCCCTCCTGGAGAGGGGGACCCCTCCTCCTTTGCTCCCCTCCTCACTGCCTTACCCGGGAGCTGCAGATTCACCCTCCTTTACCCCATCACCTCTTGCTCCGGTGACGGCCCTGTGGACAAGGCTGGTCCCCAAGGAGCAAGGACCTACAAGCGCTGCCTGGTCGCAGGCGTTTGTCCTTAAAGAGCCACTTCCTGGCTGGGGTGTGAGCCCCAAATTCCCCCTCGCTTCCCTCCCGAGCCTGATGCCCTCTCCATGTTGCATCGCCCCTGCCCCATCAGGAAGGGAGCGGACGTGGAAAACTGGGAAGTAACAAGGAATTTGGATGCAGCTGAGCCTCAGAACTTGTCTCAAACATAAGGAATAATGATAGAGCCCGTATTTTTGTGGGGGGAAAGGGGAGATATTGGTTTATTTTCTTGGAAGCCAATGGAGCTCGGTGCTGTTCAGCGGAGGCGCGCACTTGATTTCTATCAGATTCTATAGAGAGATGGCTGATATTTTTGGAAAGGGAATGAATGGGTCTATGCAAACTTCCAAAATGGCTTGAAAATAAGAAAAAGAGATAGTTTAACATTTTTTTACTTTGAAATCTAAAGAGAAAAAAACTCTAACTTTGTTTCTTAAAGTGCGTTTAGAAAGAGAAGCTACTTCCACTGCTCTATTTTGATGATGATGATGATGATTCTTGGAGAGTTTGGGCTGGAGGGAATGACTATTTTTCACCATTTTTATCTTGCTCCTCTAGTTTTGGGGTTTGTTTCTTTGTGTTGTTTTTTTTTTCTAACGGAATGCTGTGCCGTCTTTGATTCAACAGAGATCGTGTTTGTATTTTCTGTATCTGGTTCCTAACGTAGAGAAATAACAAATATATGAGGAAAATCAATATAATGTCAAATGCTGTTATGGTTTGGGGGGGAATAAAGGGGTTTTGGTACTTCACACTGCTTCTGCTCCCTTTGTTTCTTGCTTTAAATATACCCCAGTATCTGCTAAGGAAGCAGAAGGGGGAAGTTAGGGCTGGTTGGGATCGGGTTTGGCTTTGCTTTCCACCATCCCCTTGGTGATTGGGATACAGGACCCGAGTACCTCGGGTGTTGGAGCTGGGTTTGAGCCCTTGGGGTCCATAGACGACACCAGCACAACGCGTTGCTGAGGGAGGCGCTCCTCTCCCGTCGCTGACCCCGCTGTAAGCGGGTACCACGGGGAGGCAGCGCAGCACGGGCATCCCTTCCGGACGGGGGATGATGCGCCCTGGCTCGGCGCTGCGCTAGTACCGGCTGGGCGCCAGGCCTAGCTCCGCCCGGGACTACAACTCCCGTCATGCTCCGCGCCAGCCGCGCTGATTGGTCTCAGAGGGGCGAGCACGGTGACGTTGCGCACTCTGATTGGTGCAGCCCCCGGAAGCGCGGGGCTCGCGGGGAGGGAGGCCGGCGGTCGCCATGGTGAGTGCGGGAGGTTTCGTTCCGCGCCCCGGGGCGCCGTGAGGGGAACCGGGCCCTGCCGGGGGAACCGGGCTCCGGGAGCCCCGTTAACACGGCGGGGCTGCGCTGAGCCGCGGCCGGGAACCAGTGCGGGGCAGCCGGGGACGAGCCTGGGCCCCGCCGCCTCACGGGGCCGCACCGGGCCCCGCTGTTGGGAGGAGCGGGCGGGAGCGCTCCCGCAGCGGGGCCCGGCCCTTGCCCTCGCGGTGTTCGTGCTGCCGAGGCTCCCCCGGCCCCGCCGTGCTTCAGCCCCGCCCCGTCCCCAGGTTCATGGCGGTGCCCATGAGCCGCTCCAGCGCTGGGCCCGCAGCGTGCGGATCCGCTCTGACCGCTTCTCCCTCCGCAGGCCACAGCAACAGACCAGGTGGTTGGGTTCGGCTTGGTCACCTTCAGCGCCCTCCTCTTCGTTTACTACACGCTCTGGATCATCGTACTGGTACGGGGCTCCTGGCGGCTACAACCCAGGCTCTTCACCCCCTCACGGTGTTTGCCCGGGCCCTGCTTAGGTGCTGATGTGTTCCTGTGGGGCTCTGCTTGCCAGCTTCCTGGTTCGAACACTGAGGGCAGAGCTTCCTCTGTTGCTGGCCCCCTCTGGGTGTGCCTGGGCAAAACCAAGCTTCAGTCACGCTGCCTGCCCTGCTGCTCTAAACCAGGCTGACCCAGCCAGGGTAAGATCCAAAGCTCATGTGAGCTGTCAGCTGAAGCCTGGTCCCTCTAGAGGTGATGCTGGTGGTGTCTGCTTTTGTAGTCCCCTGGATTGCTGACTCTAAAGGGAATTAAAAGTGGTAAATAGGGAAAGAGATCACTCTTACCGAGAGCTTGATAGGGAGAAGAGTTTGGGCAGGGAAGAGATTCAGAGCAGCCCTGTGGAGAAGGCCTTGGGGGTGGTGGTCAATGGGAAACTTAACATGAGCCAGCTTCAGTGTGCGCTCGCAGCCCAGAAAGCAACCGTATCCTGGGCTGCATCAAAAGGAGCGTGACCAGCAGGTCGAAGGAGGTGATCCTGCCCCTCTACTCTGCTCTCATGAGACCTCACCTGGAGCATTGTGTGCAGTTCTGGTGTCCTCAACATAAAAAGGACATGGAACTGTTGGAACAAGTCCAGAGAAGGGCCACGAGGATGATCGGGGGCTGGAGCACCTCGCGTATGAAGACAGCTGAGGAAGTTGGGGCTGTTCAGCCTGGAGAAGAGAAGGCTGCGTGGAGACCTCATAGCAGCCTTCCAGTATCTGAAGGGGGCCTATAGGGATGCTGGGGAGGGACTCTTCATTAGGGACTGTAGTGATAGGACAAGGGGTAACAGGTTAAAACTTAAACAGGGGAAGTTTAGATTGGATATAAGGAGGAAATTCTTTCCTGTGAGGGTGGTGAGGCACTGGAATGGGTTGCCCAGGGAGGTTGTGAATGCTCCATCCCTGGGGGTGTTCAAGGCCAGGTTGGACAGAGCCTTGGGTGCCATGGTTTTAGTGTGAGGTGTCCCTGCCCATGGCAGGGGGGTTGGAACTGGATGATCTTAAGGTCCTTTCCAACCCTAACTATTCTATGATTCTATGAATGCAGAGCTCTGGAAAAGTGGTTCTGAGCCTGATAGGTTTGTCCATTTCAGGGTCATTAGAATCAGGGAACACCAGGTTGGACCTCAAGGATCATCTGGTCCAACCTCATGAATGATTTTCTTCCTGGAAAGAAACATCTTGTGAGCTTTCCATGTACGTGAGGCCTGGTGCAGCCCTGGCTGATGGCTCCTGGCAGCTTCCCCTCCAACCCCCGACCGGTTTGAGTTCCCTCCTGCCCCTGCTTGCTCTGTTCCCGCTGTGTTTGTGCTGTTGGACGCTGCCGCGCAGGAATCCTTACACTGCTCTCTAGTGTCCAAAGCCTTCCAGTGGATCCTGGCAGGATCACCACGAAGCAGAGCCAGGATCAGCTTCTCCTTTCTGCAGGGCAGAGAGCCCTGGGGTTCACTGTGCTCAGCACCGAGCAGGATGGCAGCTGAGCCCAGCCTGGGGTTTTATGGGCCTCATATCCCTGCCCCTTGTCATCTGCTGAACGCTGCAGCCTCCTCAGCCACGTCCTGGTCTGGCAGCCCTATTTTTAGCTATCTCCTGCTTGGTATTTCCATCCTGCTTTGGAAACCATGAGGCTGCAGGTGCTGGGGCATGGGCCTGGTGCTGTGCCACCTCCTGACAGCCCTCTCTGTGCCCTGCAGCCCTTCATCGACAGCGACCACAGCATCCACCAGTACTTCTTGCCCAGGGAGTACGCGGTTCTCATCCCCGTGGTGGCCGGGCTGCTGCTGCTGCTCTTTATAGGTGAGTGTCATTCCTCTTGTTCTAATTAGAAGCTTCTAAATTAGGAAGAGGGAAGAGGGTTGCTTGGGGCCTCTGTGACACTTGTGCCATGCTCCCTGTGGCCACTGCTGCAGCACAGGCTCTGGGGGCTGGTGTTTGGGTGTAACGTGGGCTGTTTGAGGCCCTGCACAGAGGAGTTGTCTCACTCACGCTGCTCGGGGCCCGTTTCTCACTGCAGTGGGATTCAAAGCACCTGTAATCAGACACTTCCTGTCCCAATCTGTTCTCTTTCTCACTGCAGGTGTTTTTATAACGGTTGTGATGTGGAAAAACAGGAAGCCTGTCAAGAAATTGGACTGAAGGGGGGTGAGAAGGCGCCAGAGCCAAGAAAAGACTTTGCCTGCAGCCCCGAGCAGGCAGCGCTCAGCACCAAACCCTCCTTCCTGCAGAGACAAACCCGTTTACACCGTGCTGACCAAGGGAACCAAACCTGACATTCAGGGCTCATTGAGAGAGGGACCAGAGAGCCCTGCTGTGAGGGACCTGCTCCAAACTGGGGCTGTGCTCTGGGCTGCAGTGGCTGGGGACCAACCTCCACCCTCTGCTCAGCCTCTGGGTGATCCTTGCCTGCTGCTCTTGTTGTGTCCAGTGTGTTCCTCCTGTGTCCTTATTAAATGTTCACGTATGATTTGTGGGGGTTTCTCAGTGGTGTTTGAGAGGAAAGAAATGAGACTTTGGGCTTGGAAAAGGCAAGTTTGTATTCTCCATTTGCCTGCTGGAGGAGCTCATCATAGAATCAGAGAAGGTTTGGGGTGAAAGGGAGCTTAAAGCCCATCCAGCTCCAACCCCGTGCCACAAGCAGGGACACCTTCCACTAGAGCAGCTTGCTCAAGTCCAATCTGACCTCTCTGAAGAGGAACCCTTGTGTGGCATGTGAGCACTGGGAAACATCAGACATGGAAACACCCTGACTGGGTGGCCTGGGCATACCCAGCCTTGTGCCATGGGGCAGCTCCAGCAAGGGGAGGGCAGGATTGGGGTGCTCTGATCCTTCCCACATGGACTGAGAGCTTCCCCTACGAGGCAGCAGCGTGTCCCGTCACCTCCGGTCCTGCCCAGGGGTGATGCTGGTGGCTCGGGGTGCCTTGGGCTGAGCCTGGCAGTGGTTTAAACCCATGTGCGTGGTCCAGAGGCTCGGCTCCGGATGGAGGTTTGTCCGCAGCTCCTGCAGAGCCTGCCAGGCCTCCATCCACCCCTCTTGCCTTGCCTCAGTGTTGGTGCTGCTCCACAGGGTGAGAAACCCTTCCCGGCCCCTCTGCACCCGGACATGGCTCAACCCAACCCATGAGGGCAGGTGTGAGCTGAGCAGGCCAAAGGGTGGAAGATGGGGTCGTGTCTGCCCACAGTCGGGTTTGCCCCAGGCGCTGCCTCCTGCGTCAGAGCCCCGCAGTGTCCCTGTCACCTCATCTCTAATCCTGCTCCAAGCGTGCCAAGGGCAGGGCTGGGAGCAGTTTTGAGGCTACTTCTCATGTTTCCTTGTCAACAAGGGGAGGATACAAAGTCCAGCACCCACCCCTGGGCAACAGGCACCTCGCCTCGGGAGCGCTTCGCGTAGTCCGGGGGCAAGAAGGGGCGGCCCTTTGGGGGCATCAGGTGGGGACTGGGAACCAAGGGGCTGCTGGTTTGAGCTGCTCTGGATCCCCTCGGTCCCAGCGTCCGGCGTGGTTGGGAGCTGATGGTGCACGGAGGTGAGAAGGGGGCTTGGGGACGCGGGGGGGTCACAGCAGGGACCCCAAGCGAGGGCAGAGGAGGTGCAGAGGGAAACGGGTACCGGGGATGGGCACTGGGGTCCATAGCTGGGTTGTTGGGGCCGGTGCACAGGGGATGGCTCCGGGTCGGTACCAGGGTACGTGCGGCGCTGCCCTCGGTGCGGGGTCGGTCCCGGCTCTCCGCGGCCGGGTCCCGGTGCCGGTGCCGGTGCCGGAGGCGGTGCTGGGCTGCAGGGCGGAGGGGGGGGGCGGTCCCGGTGCCGGCAGTGCCCGCTCGGCCCCGCCCCGGCGCTGCCCCGCGGGATGCGGGACCCGGCGGCCGCGGCCCTGGGGGCCGGGGAGCGGCGGCGCCGCGGGGGCTCCCGGCGCGGTGAGTGCGGCCCGGACCGGGGCAGGGATGGGGGGACCTCGGGGAGGGGGGGGGGGACCTCGGGTTTTGGGGTGCCGGGGATGGGCGTCCCCGGTGCTGAGCCCGCTCTGTGCGCAGGGAGCGAGCCGCGACCCTCCTGGTGACCCCGGGCCCCACGGTGCCCCCCGAGCATGAAGACCCTGGTGAGTACCCGCAGGGGCGGCGGGACCCGACGGCACCGGCGGGGAAGGAGCCCGGGTGAGCCGCGGACCCCGCAGGCAGCAGCGAGCCCCTGAGCGCGGCCCTCGGCCGGTGCTGCCTGCAGGAAGTGAGCTCGGTGCAGGCACCCAGCGCTCCCCCTGCGCCCCACGCCCATCGCCGTGGGGTCTGCTCCTGTGCACGGCCCCATGGAGCCCCCGGCATCCAGCGCACATGGCCGGGCCCGCAGGAACCTTCCTTCTCCCGCTCTGCTCCAGGCCCGGCTCTTCCTGTCGCTGGTGTGCGCGGCGCTGGGTGCTGTGCTCTACGTCCTGCTGTGCAACCAAGCGTGCCCGCGGGCCTGCTGCCGGCCCCCGGCACAGTGGGGCAGCCCCACAGCATCCACTGCCCCCCGCTTGCAGGGGTACAGCCGCGTCCCTGATGGGAAGGTGAGCGGGGATGGGGCAGCTCGGCCCGACCGTGCCTCAGTTTCCCCTTCCTTAATGAGGGCGGAAGGGGCTACAGGAGCCAATGGGGAGCCAATGGGTTCATCTCCCCACAGCCACTGGAGCGGGCCCTGTGCCGCCGCTGCGCCGTGGTCTCCAGCTCGGGGCAGATGCTGGGCTCACGCCTGGGCCAGGCCATCGATGGGCAGGAGTGCGTCCTGCGCATGAACCACGCGCCCACCGCCGGCTACGAGGAGGACGTGGGCAGCCGCAGCACCGTCCGCGTGGTATCGCACACCAGCGTCCCCCTGCTCCTGAGGAACCAGCGCTACTTCTTCCAGCAGTGCCAGGACACCCTGTACATCATCTGGGGGCCGGCGAGGAAGATGAGCAGGGAGAAGGGGGGTTCGACCTACCAGGCGCTGCTGAAGGTGATGCAGATGTACCCGCACCTGCAGATCTACACCCTGACCGATGAGAAGATGGCCTATTGCGACGACATCTTCCAGAATGAGACGGGCAAGAACAGGTACCACCACCTCCCACAGAGACCCCATTGGGTTCCCCCCACCATAGCGCCAGTGTCGTCCCCTCCCCATCAGACACCCGTATCCCAGCTGGGCTGGTAGCCCTACCGCACCCGCTCATCGTGGTGCTTTGCAGGATGAAGTCCGGCTCCTTCCTGAGCACGGGGTGGTTCACCATGATCCTGGCCATGGAGCTCTGCGAGCGGATCTGCGTCTTCGGCATGGTCAGCGACAGCTACTGCAGGTACGTGGGGAGCAGCGGGCGCGGGGTGACCCAGCGTCCCCCCGAGTCCCACACACACACACACACATCCCCTCGCAACAGGGAGAAGAACCACTCGAGCGTGCCCTACCACTACTTCGAGCAGGGCCAGCTGGACGAGTGCAGGATGTACCTGGTGCACGAGCGAGCCCAGCGCGCCGGGCACCGCTTCATCACCGAGAAAACCATCTTCTCCCGCTGGGCCAAGAGGAAGAACATCACCTTCACCCACCCGTCCTGGGCCAGCGGATAGGGCGTGAGCCATGGGGCGAGGCAGCATCCTGCAGTGACATGCCTTGGCTGCACCGGTGCCCCTACAGCAGCAGGGCCGGTTCCTCCAGCTGCTGGGTGGGCTGGGACCCTCCCCATGTTGGTGCACAGAGGCATGAGCTGGACCCGTAGAGCCCCACTGGCACCAAGCACCTCTCTGATGGACCCAATGCGACCGCAGAGGGTTTCCACCTGCTCTGCTGGGGTGAATATTTAATGCAGGATGGAACATTCACGCTGCTGGGCTCCAGCGTGACAGCAGCAGAGCTCGGGGCCATGAGCCTCTGACTCTCCCAGGGATGGAGCTCCTTGCCCCACTGATTCCCTGATTCCTGGTGCTTGATGGGGGAGCGCAGGGCTTCCCCATCCTGATACCTTCTGCTGCTCTGCGCCGGGGCAGGTCCCTGTGGTCCCCTGCATCCCCTTAACTGGGATGCCCTGGGGTCATACACAGCTCAGGGGGGGCTTCACGTTGCCTCGTCACAAGTGCCCTTGGATTCAGACCAAAGCAAACGTGGCCATTAAATGCAGTTTTAACTCGATGGTGCCTTGTGCTGTGCCCCTTAGGGCTGCGGGACGTGGGGACAGGGGACAGCAGCTGCTCTCCGTGCTGCCAGCATCCTGCTCCCCTGCCAGGCTATAAATAAGGTGGTGAGGGGGTAGAGCTGAGCCTGAGCACGGAGGAAGGAGCCGAAAGCCGACGGTGGAGAGCATTTAGGAACCAGCAGCTGCGTCCCAACCAGGTCCCTGCGAGATGGGCGCTGAGCTGGGGTGGATTCTGTGCTGGGTCCAGGCTGATCTTTGCCCTGCAGGGAGGGCGTTTGTGGAGGCCTGGGTCATGCCAGGACCCGGCGTGCGCGGCCCTGACCCCGGCTGCAGCTCTTGGAACCCTTAACAGATGCCACGCGTTTGGGTGGGCCTGGAGGTGTCGGGGGAGGCAGGAGGAGGGCAGAGGGAGCCGCGTTCACCCCCGTTTCAGCAGGGGTCGAGTGAGGAGCGAGTCACCTGGAGATGCTGCCAGGACAGGGAGCCACAGGCGAGGGTGAACCAAGAGCCCGTGGGGCTCTGCCCCATTGCCACACCCGCACACAGGGAAGGGCCCCGCTAGCGCAGCCGAGCCGAGATCCCCCCCCGGACAGGGCCTGCAGGTCCCGGTCAGCGCCCTCCCCGCCACACCACATCCCCGGAGCGCGATGGGGGAGGCGGCGGCATCCCAACAATGCGGCCCGGACGCCACGTGCTGCTCTGGTGCCCGCCCCGGTGCCCTCGGGGGTGGGACGGGTCAGACCGCAGGGGCGGGAGCAAGCCCCGGCCTGCACCGTCGGGGCCCGGCGCGGGGAGGGCGGCGCTAGGACCCCCGCGGAGCTCCACATCTTGGCGGGCGGCGCTAGGACCCTTGCGGCTGTCTCCGTCTCGGGCGGGCGGCGCTAGGACCCTGCGTTGGTCCTCGGTTCCGGCCCAGGCGGCAGCCGCATCAGCATCACCGGTACCGGCATCACCGGCACCGGCATCACCGGTACCGGCACCGATAGCAGCAGCATCGCGGCGCACTGCGGAGCGGAGCGGTCGGTGGATACGTTGCGTCCTCTCCGGGCCCGTTTAGCCGGTGCAGGGGTGGAACGGCTCCGGTGCACGGTAAATTGGGGGGGGGGGGGGGGTATGGAGGGCGGACGGGCCCCGGTCTGCGCGGTTCCTGCAAAGCGGGACTGCCGGGGGACGGCTGCACCCTTGGGTGCGGGGATGTGGGGGGAGCACTGGGAAGCGGGGGAGGATTCGCATTCCGGGGCGGGTTTTCCCTTCCCGGGCATCAGCAGGGATCGCATCCGGGGCTGGGGGATCCGTGCACGTTGTGAGTGCAGCGGGGTTTGC